TGACAGCACCATCTACTGACCTTCCCATTCTCAAGTACAGTGGAGCAGCGGACGATGGACCCGTACAAGACTAATTCGGCCTGCTTGAGCTCCACGCTACCGCTGCATCTTGGTCGGAACGGGAAATGGTTACAAACTTCAGGGATTACGTCACCGGTGAGGCATTTAAATTTTGCCTTACCCACATATTCGAGAACGACGAGTCTTGGCAAAAAATAAAAAAAGAAATGATCACCTGGTATCAAGACTATAATAAAGGCTCTATTAGAACACACACTCTCAGTGCATTCGAACTCAGTCATCGCAGTCATAAACAGCTTTCACGCATTCGAGCACAGAGCATGAAATAACAATTCCCGTCAGGTGAAGTTAGCCACATGCTCACAGAAAGACCACGCGGACGTTTTCCCAATCTTCCACCTGGTCTTCCGTCACTTGACCCCTTGGTTGCTCACTTTGCCCACCTCGTGACTAACACACTCACTACAGTCAGAATAAAGCAGAGGAATTCGGCGGGTACTCAACCGAGCCCAGACTCTTCAATAGAGATATGCATTAGATGAGCTCAACTCTTTAGTTGCGCAGAGGGACCGACATTTACAAGTAATATGTGACGAAATAATGCCTGTTACAGTGTTGATGTTCAGTATCCAGCCAACTGAGGGTGAAAGCAACACAGGAGGCTCAGAAGCATCACCTCTATGGCGTTGCCGTGAACCAAGTGCATGGAACCGCTGTGTGACATGAAACTACTGCAGTTTCCGTTATTATTTTTTTATTATAAGACTCCCCTTGTTCATGCTTTATAGATTATAGCTCACGCATTCTTTCGAGGGCAGGGAGAAGCATGTGAGGTAAGAATGTAGTGATGGTTGGTAGAAGCCGAGAAGGAAGAAGTGAGAATAGAAATAAACATATATATATATATATATGTTATATATATATATATATATGTATATGTATATATATATATATATATATATATATATATATATATATATATATATATATATATATAGTGAGATCTAACAGACAATAATGCCAAGGAATGTATAGGGGCAGTTATTAGAATTAATGTAAAGTAAATAGGTGGGTGAAAAAATAACTTGCCGTGAGCAGGAATCGAACCTACGACCTCAGAATAACGTGTTCGATGCCCTACCACTGAGCTATCACGGCGGCTGTTCCCCCAGCCACTCTATTGAGTTTATAGGTGAATTTGAACGTGGGAGTGTCAGTCAGCACCACCTGTAGCCATGGCGGCGAGTGTGGTACACTCTTTTTATGAGCCTGTATACCAATAGTCTAATCAATAGCTGACCAATAGTCTCTCGTATACAACCTAACGGCACCAAGTCTGCCAGTACGAGACCCTCATGAATGAATAAGAGAAAGAAGTTTATGTATGTATGTATGTATGTATGTATGTATGTATGTATGTATGTATATATATATATATATATATATATATATATATATATGCTTTTGCATGTGTTTTCGTGGCCTTGAATGCGAACAGCATATATATGTATAGATGGCGCTGACTGTCGCTCCTACTTCTAAATTCACATATAAGCCCAAAAAAGTGGATGGAGGGAAGGCCGCTGTGATAGCTCAGTGGTTAGAGCATCGAACGCGTTATTCAAAGGTCGTAGGTTCGATTCCTGCTCACGGCTGGTTATTTTTTCATCCACTTTTCTTTCTTCTTTCTTCTTATTTACAATCTATTGGTTCTAATAACTTTTCCTGTACATTCCTTGGCATTACTGTCTGTTAGATCTCATTAATATTGTGTTAAAAACACGGAAAACGAGCCCTTAGGTATACACTTCTTTCCCTTATTTCATTGAACGAGGGTCTCGTACTGGCAGACTTGGTGTGTTTAGGTTGTATAAGAGGGACAATTAATCAGCTGCTCGCTCATAATAAGTTCACGTGCTACGTGACGCCAAACATGCGAATAAGAGTGTTTTCACACTCGTCCTTTGGCTTATAGATGGCGCTGACTGTCGCTCCTACTTCTAAATTCACATATAAGCCCTAAAAAGTGGATGGAGGGAAGGCCGCTGTGATAGCTCAGTGGTTAGAGCATCGAACGCGTTATTCGAAGGTCGTAGGTTCGATTCCTGCTCACGGCTGGTTATTTTTTCATCCACTTTTCTTTCTTCTTATTTACAATCTGTTGGTTCTAATAACTTCCCCTGTACATTCCTTGGCATTACTGTCTGTTAGATCTCATTAATATTGTGTTAAAAACACGGAAAACGAGCCCTTAGGTATACACTTCTTTCCCTTATTTCATTGAGCGAAGGTCTCGTACTGGCAGACTTGGTGTGTTTAGGTTGTATAAGAGGGACAATTAATCAGCTGCCCGCTCATAATAAGTTCACCTGCTACGTGACACCAAACATGCGAATAAGAGTGTTTTCACACTCGTCCTTTGGCTTATAGATGGCGCTGACTGTCGCTCCTACTTCTAAATTCACATATAAGCCCAAAAAAGTGGATGGAGGGAAGGCCGCTGTGATAGCTCAGTGGTTAGAGCATGGAACGCGTTATTCGAAGGTCGTAGGTTCGATTCCTGCTCACGGCTGGTTATTTTTTCATCCACTTTTCTTTCTTCTTATTTACAATCTATTGGTTCTAATAACTTCCCCTGTACATTCCTTGGCATTACTGTCTGTTAGATCTCATTATTATTGTGTTAAAAACACGGAAAACGAGCCCTTAGGTATACACTTCTTTCCCTTATTTCATTGAGCGAGGGTCTCGTACTGGCAGACTTGGTGTGTTTAGGTTGTATAAGAGGGACAATTAATCAGCTGCCCGCTCATAATAAGTTCACGTGCTACGTGACGCCAAACATGCGAATAAGAGTGTTTTCACACTCGTCCTTTAACTTATAGATGGCGCTGACTGTCGCTCCTACTTCTAAATTCACTTATAAGCCCAAAAAAGTGGATGGAGGGAAGGCCGCTGTGATAGCTCAGTGATTAGAGCATCGAACGCGTTATTCGAAGGTAGTAGGTTCGATTCCTGCTCACGGCTGGTTATTTTTTCATCCACTTTTCTTTCTTCTTTCTTCTTATTTACAATCTATTGGTTCTAATAGCTTTCCCTGTACATTCCTTGGCATTACTGTCTGTTAGATCTCATTAATATTGTGTTAAAAACACGGAAAACAAGCCCTTAGGTATACACTTCTTTCCCTTATATATATATATATATATATATATAGGCAGGCATGGTGGTTGAGTGGCCGTAGCGTTGCATATAGTCTAGTAGATCCTCCGTGAGCGGTCACAACGTGGTTTATTTCGACGTTTCGGCCAAGAGTCTGGCCTTCATCAGGAATAGAGATACAGTTTGTCGGTGCTCAGCTTTATACAATCTCAAATCAGAGGGCAAGGTAAGAGGGAAAAAAAGAAAAGAAAAGAAAAGGAAAGAAAAAAAAAGAAAAAAGAGAAAAATAATATACGGTGAACGCCCCTCGGGTGCCCCCCTTCCACTTTTCCCTCCACTCCCCCCCATCTCTCTCCCCCCTCTCCCCTTCACCTTTCTGATGTCAGCGGTCTTTGTATGTTTCCGTTCACTAGCGCATTCCTCCCGATCAGACGGTCCCTCCTGGCACTGGCGGTTCGGTGTGGGGCAAAAAAGAGCTTTTCAGGAAGTCCTAAGCCTTTAACTGCTCGGGGTCCCGTAAACGATTCGTCGTAGAAGGACGGGGGCCGCGTATTGTGGCAGAGGCTGGTCAGCGGGCATTTTAGGAAGTTCTAAGCCTTTAACTACTCCGCGCCCTGTCAACATTTCGTCGTAAAAATAGGGGTGCCCCGTATTGCGCTAGGCTGTGCAAGCGCGTGCAATGCGAATTCCTGGCCCGCTTCTAAATTACGCGTGTCGTGGGGGCCTCCCGGCTGTGCACATGGTTGCTGTTGGGCATGTCGTGCATGGCACAATTGATTGGGTAGCAAAATAAAACAGAAAACAGACGACAGCTGCACTTAGGAAGAGTAGTTACACTTGGAATTGTTTTAGGTTGTCCAGTGCCTTTCGCAGCTGCAGTGCCGTGAACTCAGTTACTATTTTCATTGTTGCCGTTATTGTTTTCTAATGCTTTATTGCTGCAAGTGTACCAGGATTCTCATTTATTCCTCTATCGAGGGTGTTAAATCAGTGGATAAGGTATGACTCTCGTTGTTCACGTTCTCGATTTGATCTAAATCCCGTCTCTAAGAGCGTTACTGATAGTTTGTCGAATGCATGGTCGGGAAGATTGAGATGTTTTGATAGAGGTAGACTTGGGGCTGATTTCGCATGGGCTCTGTGATTATTGAAGCGAATCCTAAATGGTGTTTCTGTTTGTACGATGTACTGCATACCACACACGTTGCATTCGAGTAGGTACACCACATTAGAAGAATCGCATGTTAGGTTTCCTCGTATGTTAATCGAAAACTTGGATTGCGTGCTGGTTGCTTTGTCTGTTTCTCGCATCGCCTTACATACAAGACATCGTGGCTTTAAGCAAGGGCGGCATGAATTATTGGGGGTGATGTGTTAATTAGGGAGTGGACAAGGGTGTCTGTATATATATATATATATATATATATATATATATATATATATATATATATATATATATACAGACAGTGAGAGTAATAGTTCAATGCATCTCTTAACCCGTATATCTTTATTAGAGATACGGGTTACAACACAGTGGAAACATGAAACATTGTCAACAATGATACATATATTTATTTCTCAGCAGTGTTGGGAGGTGCCCTCCCTTCGTGAAGGGATAAGTTTAACTCATCCCCTGACTGTTGAGAAATAAATATATGCATCAATGTTAACAACGGTTCTGTAGTGTTACAACCCATCTCTCTATATATGTATATATTTATATAGACACACAAACACGCAGAGACGATATTGTTCATAAAAATACTATCGAACTTGATCTGCAATGACTGTCCAGCATGCAGTGTACAAGGACATACCTTGACATTGGACAGTGCAATGTCTCCCAGTCCTTCCGTCCACACTCTGCACTGGTCCAGGACTAGGTTTTCAAGTGTGGCCTGTGCACCGTCAGACAACTCTACATCAATGCCTGCATAATAAACATTGAAACAAACTGTATTAACGAGAACTAATAGACAATAATGCCAAGGGAAGTATAGGGTATGTTATTAACAGTAATTATAATGTTAAGAAAGGAAAGTGGGAAAAAAAGATAACTTGCCATGATTATAGTGTCTCATAAGGAAAAATGAGCCCTTAAATTTCCCCTTCTTTCCATAATAACACATACAGTGACACTCAGTACACGTGTGTAGAAGAAAGTAAGCCTCCTTTGTGGAAAACATGGAAATGAGGTGATTTTACTGCACAAGAGCGCAGAACGCATCCATACTTATTGTTAACCTAGTTGGTACTTGCTTACTGACATGCTTTGGCCACAAATAACACACGCACAAAGTAAAGAAACACTCAACGACAAGCACAAGCGGCACTTCCAACTGAGTTGAAAGTGCCGCTTGTGCTTGTCGTTGAGTGTTTCTTACTTTGTGTGTGTTATTTGCGGCCAAAGCATGTCAAAACGCATCCATTGCTGGCTGTTCCAAACCCGTCAAGTGCACACCGCTCTCTCCACGCACTAGTCAAATCGTCATCCTTCCTTCCAATATTTAACACACTCCGGGACATGAGGTGGCAAGTTATAAAGGGTACAGTTTTTGTAGAAGCCTGAACAGCTGAGAGTCATTGGGTATTCTTACTTTATATGACCTAACCATGCCATCTTTACTTTGAGTGCATTCGCTTACTATGCCAGTTTTTCAGAACAGTCTGGAAGCATTGTCCTCGTGAATAATCACCACGTCTCTTTTCCTAACGCTGGTATTTTTTGATGCTCTCCTTGAGTGAACGCTTCAGAGTGTTAGAAGATATTCATGAAGCCACAATTTTTTTTTTATTAGCTTCTTGTGCACCCACAAACTGAGCAGCTCTGTATTCGTTTTTACCTGTTCATCTGAAGTGTTAGGTTTCGACAAAAGATGACTGCCAGATAAAAAATGAGATGGGGCAAGATTTCTGGTTCTCTAGGGGAGGAAGAAATTTAAGACATTGGTCTGAAATTAACAGCAGCTTCAGTTTCTGTCAGCAAAGTGCTCAGTTGCTGTGAGTCAACAGACCCTTGCTCAATGCCTTGCGAACACACATCTTGACTATACTAACTAACCGCTCCCACAAACCACCCCACTAAGGAGCTCTGTCTGCAATAAATTTCTACATTATGCTGTGGGTGGAGCAATACCAGCTCACTTTGTCCTTCTTAAACAGCTGGTGTGTGTAAGCAAATTCACATGCACTTTTCTTAATTGTAGCAGCACTAAGTAACCTATTCACGGTAGTTAAAAAAATGGGATGATAATTGTAAGAGTATTCATTACCAGATTTATAGAGTGGAATGACTTTCCAGATTTTCCATTGACTAGGAATAGCAGAAGTATACAGGGACTGTTGGAAAATTTTAGTAAGTATAATGGAACTGTAAGCGCTAGCGTTTTCTAAAAGCTTTGTGCTGATACCACCACACCCAGGAGATGAATCTTTTTTTAAGTGATTCATTGAGGCATACATCTCCAAGAGCTTCAATAATCACTGATGCCATGGGTGAATAATTGTGTAAAGTCGCACTAGGTCAATTATTACGGCAATCTATAGAGAAGTTTTTGATCAAAGAATTAAGAACAGCAGTGCAATGGGCTTCACTAATTTCATTAACAGATGAGTCAATCAAGATTATATCATCATCGGATAGGGGGTTGATGACTCATCATAATTATTTTTGCGTTAGTTTGTAACATGGACGGCAAAACTTGAGTAAGAAAGTTATCGTTAGCAGATTTCAGTGCAGATATGGAGATGAATGATGCAGATCTATAGGCATCCTATAGCAGGTGGTTCCAATGGCCAATGATCAATTTCCTGTCATTGGCTTCGACAGTGTCAGGTGTGTTTCAGTCCTTTGCCCTGCCACGGTGGTCTAGTGGCTAAGGTACTCGGCTGCTGACCCGCAAATCGCGGGACCGAATCCCGGCTGCAGCGGCTGCATTTCCGATTGAGGTGGAAATGTAGTAGGCCCATGTGCTCAGATTTGGGAGCACGTTAAAGAACCCCAGGGAATCGAAATTTCCGGAGCCCTTTACTACGGCGTCTCTCATAATCATATGGTGGTTTCGGGACGTTAAACCCCATATATCAATCAATCATCAATCAAGTAGGTAAACATCTCGCTACACGATAAAAATGTTTCTTTCAGTTAGTTAAGTGTTTGGTGTGAGCGTTGTGCCATGGCGCACACGCGTTATACATGATGGTACGGCAAGGAATATACTTTTTGGTTTGTTGTTCAACTTCGGCTGCAAACATGTTAGACTGTATTGAACGGGTATCAAAATTGCTTAAAAATGTGTCTAGGAAAGTTGCTAGTTCACTGTTAATCATGTCAAAGTTTGCTTTTTCTTTAGTCCCATATATTTTTTTTTATCTGGATTGGGACAGGGTGCATCAAATGAAAATGATAGTAATGAATGATCACTGATACCTGGTTCATAGGTTATTGTGGTAACAAAGTCTGGTCGATTTATTAATATTAGATCAAGAATGCTAGCACTGCTACTGGTTGCCCTAGTTGGTAACGCTACTACTTGTGTCAGGGAAAACATTGAACATAGATTAATAAATTCACTCGGTTGTGGCGAAGACGGTAATGAGTAGGGCGCATATGTGTTCCATATTATACTAGGAAAGTTAAAATCTCTGAGCAGCAACAGAGGATGTGATAGAAATCATGTGCAAACTATATTTATTGCGTCCTGAAGTTCATCGACCAATGTTGAAGGTGAAGAGGGAGAGCATACACTAAATAATACCTTTTGGTATTCAATGGTTACCACTGTATCCCAAATAAGCTCAAGTTCAGTGTTAATATGAATACAAGAAGAAGGAATGTCTTTTGAGATTGTTAGAAGATTGTTGCCTCCCCTGCGCACTGTCCGATCACAACGGTATATGTGAAAATTGTTTGCGTCAAAGCTTTCTTGATCACACACATGTGCATGGAGCCAGGTTTCAGTCAAAGCAATTATCTTTGTGCTACATGTATCAATAGCTGATGATAAAGAGTTGCATTTGTTTAGTAAACTTCTAACGTTAGAAAAAAGAACAGATACCTGAGGATTGTATTTGCGGTCACCTCCCCTCGCGCAAACCTACGTAGTCGTGTTCATTGAAGAAGCCCGCGCATCACCGACATGGTTGATACGTTTTTTTTACCTCTAGAATTTCGTCGCACTCTGAAAAATACATGTGCATAAATTTAGTAGTGACTTGTTGTAACGCAGCTTCAGTGGCGAAGAACTGGGCTGAGCTTTCCCAAAGTTAGTAAGTTTTATACGTGCCTGCCTCGTTGCCAGAGAAAAACCTTTGCTGACTGAGGTGTTCCTATCTTTTAGTTGATTGCGCAGTAACAACACTTTCTTTTTTGTTTTGAAGTTAGTGAACTTGGCGACAATGAAGCGGTACTTGAGTGGTTACCCAAACAGTGCACCCTTTGAAGTGACTCGCTCGGAAAACTGTCAAGAAGAGCAGGAATACAATTCGTCCATTTTGCTTTGGTTTGTTGTAGATTTCTTTAGAGTTTGTGAAAAATTAAATTTTCCCTTCTCAAACTGTTCTCTAGATTGGTTAGTCTAGATTGTTGTATATAGTAAATCTTGTCGGTTAGTTCTTCCCTTCCCCCCCATCCAGTTTGTTTAATTTTTTTCCAATTCCTAAAGTCCCTTCCGGATGCCAGCAATTTCAGCATGAATGTTTCTTTGTCCCATTTTAATTGCTTTCACATCAGTAGCAGGCTCAGACTGATGCTTCGAGCTCTGTAACGAATGCAAATGCACATCTTTCAACATATAAAATAAAACGTTCATTTGCTCGGTAGGGTTTTCGGGTAAGTCGTCGAATTCTTGTTGTGCTGTGGTATGGGTATTTAGTGCAGGGTTAGTTTCAATGTCACCCGAAGAAATCAAAGTGTAAGCCACTGAAAAACATTCGCACAAAGTCCTGCACAACACCCGTGGGCATGGAAACTGCAGTAGACAGCGGTTATTAGATCTTTTAGCGTGTAGTGAACGAGTACACAGCTGCATGGTGAAGAAATTTTGGCTTAGAGCTGTGCGAAGACCACTGCTCTCGTGCCCACTGAAAGGGGCGTCCAGGTGTTGCTTCTTGAAGCTGTCAATGGCAATTGCTGTTGAGGTCAATAGGGCTGCTGGATCCTCAAAGAGCAACCAAGGGGCGTCAGTGCTCGACATGTGTTGATCGGCTACGCTGACAAAGTTCGTTGTCGTTGACGAGGATCATTTGTATGAATGGCATGCTTAAATACATCTCAGAACGGCTGTCGCTGTAGCACTGCTCTGTTGTAAGTGAGCCAAATCAAGCTTCGATTGTCTTGAAGCTTCGGCAACTAGCTTTGAAGCATCATCAAAGGATCGATCTTCCGAAGACGTACCTGTGGTTGCCTGGTCATTGGGTATTAAGAGGCCTCAGTCCGCCGTCATTTCAGGTTGAAGTTGCTCAATTTAATGAGACATCTGGGCACGTTAGTATTTCATGGTTGAGAATGATAATACTGCACTAAAAAGGAGGACACAAAGAATGCACACACACATGTGCTATGTGTATGTGTGCCTTGTCTGTGTTCTCGTTTAGTGTGCTATTATCATTCCTAACCTTGACGAGAGAGAAGGAACAACGTTGCTGCTGTGTTGTCTTCATACTCCCAAGATTGATAGGTAGTCCTCAGCTGCTTGCTCATCCGTGACGAGTCCCTCTAGCTGATCATTGAGCACCCATAGTTCGTTGTCACAGTTCTTCAGTCTGTCAATCAGAACTTAAAGCGCCAGGGTGTTAAACTGGCTCGATTCAATGAGCTGGCTTGCCTCGATTCGAAGACCCATATGCAAAGCTCATTGGGTCCCTTCTTTGCCCTTTATCCAAATTCAGCTTCATTGTCGCAAAAGTATTTTTGTTTTCGGGTCACTTGGC